TTCCTCTCCTTAACCCTCCCTCAAATCCAGGGAGACGCTTCCGAAGCGGGGCGAGCGCTGATCTTACGTAAATGGTGCTGCTCCCGGGAGGGCATCTCCCCTGCCAGCCCCGGGCCGGGGGAGCATCCTCGGGCGCCGCTCGCCCTGCCTAGCGACCGGGCTCCTCGCTGCCGCTGCCGCCCTGCCCGAATCCGCCCCGGCACCGGCAGCGGCACCGGCACCGGCACCGGCGGGGGCGGGCGCTGAGCACAGCCGGCAGCCCGCAGCCCCGTCCCCAGCGGCTCTCGGCGCCTCCGCGGACCGGCTGCGGGGATGATGCGGCGCGTCGGACCCCGCGGCGGGGAGGGCGCTATGTCAGAGAGATAACGCGCCTCCGCCAGCAGCCCGGGGGCAGTGTCGGTGCCAGCCCCCGCCGGGACCCGGCTGCCTGGGAGCCGCTCGCATCTCGGCGGACGGACTGGCCGCGGCGGCGGGGCCGGGGAGCGGCGGGGCGAGGCCCGGCGGGGCGGGGGAGCGGCGGCCGGCCGTGCCGGGGCACCCCGCCTCCGGGAGGCTGAGGAGCGCAGGCAGCAGAGCCGGGGAGGAGGAGGAGGGCAGCGCCATGACTCATTTGCAGGCAGGTCTCTCCCCGGAGACTCTGGAGAAAGCCCGGCTGGAGCTGAATGAGAACCCCGACACCTTGCACCAGGACATCCAGGAGGTGCGGGACATGGTCATCACTCGGCCGGACATCGGCTTCCTCCGCACCGACGATGCCTTCATCCTGCGGTTTCTGCGCGCCAGGAAGTTTCAGCACTTCGAGGCGTTTCGCCTCCTGGCCCAATACTTTGAATATCGCCAGCAGAACCTGGACATGTTCAAGAGCTTCAAGGCCACAGACCCGGGCATCAAGCAGGCGCTGAAGGATGGTTTCCCCGGCGGGCTGGCCAACCTGGACCACTACGGCAGGAAGATCCTCGTCCTTTTCGCTGCCAACTGGGATCAGAGCAGGTAAAAGCACAGCCACTCGGCCACCTCAACCCCTTCTCCCCCGGGCAGTGCGTGGGAAAGCCGTGCCAGAGCGGAGGGAGAGAGGGTGGGCAGCAGGGACACACCCGGCGCTGCCCACAGGGGGCTGGGCAGCAGCCTGGAAGGCAGAGGGAGAAAAGAAAGAAGAAACGTATTTTGTGGCTTAGGGCCCTTTCAACCAGCTCATCCCTTGGGTGAATTTTGGGAGGCAAGTAGACACTGCTGGGGTGCTCCTCTCAGCTGTGTGACAGGAGGTTTACACCCTCCTGCCTCCCTTTAGCCGAAGTGAGCTGGCACGTAGATGATGTGCTGATCCCCYAGACAAAGGCTGGTTGCACTCTGGGCTGGTCTTTCTGCTTCAGCACAYACGGAGCTGCTCAGGTGCCATGGGAGAAAGGGGGAGATGCTGCGTGTAGAACAGGAGKATCCGTCATGGCTTTTGAGCTGAAAAGTTTGCCTGTGCAGGAAGCTCAGCCTCCRAATCCTTTCCCTCAGCTAAAGAAAGCTCTTCCTGAGCCACCTGGAAATGCCAGGATGGAAGTTGCTATAAACACTTCTTTCCCAACTCATGCTGCTCTAAATGTCAATTCCCTGCATAATAAGATCCAAGCACACAAAACTTTGATAGCAAATTGAAGACTAGTCCCTCAAATGGTTAATTTCTCATCTTTTTTTGGGAGTGCTCTAACCTGAAGATGACTTAGAAGGGTAACCCAAGAGCTGTTTCCCATCAAGGCCCCTTTTAGCAATTGATTTGATTTTAGTATTTGTTTATTTTAAATACCTCGTGGGGTGTCATGCTCAGTTTCTCCTGCAGTCTAAAAGTATGTCTACAGAGATGGCTTGATTTCTTGATGCTCTAAAACGTACGTCTGTGAGCACTGCATTGTTTTCTTCGGCTGCCAACCTGCTTGCAGGTTTATGATCTGAAGCACTTTTTAGTGTGAAAACTTTGAATCTTGCTGGTTACCATCCTTTTTGTGGTCAGCACACTGCTGAGTGCTCAGTGCAGGTATGTTCAGCTCAGCTAATTTGAAACTTTGGAGGGGACTCAAACAGCTGGCAGTGTGGCTAGAAAGGACAAAATTTGGGGGAGGCATGTTTAAGTTTGCCCTTTAGGTGTTTGTTTAGCTATCCTCTTGCRGGCTGTGTGGATTGTCACCGCAGGGAACATTGCCACAGCTCCCTGCACCAGTTGGTGTGGGAKCTATGGACTCAGCTATGGACAATCTCCGCCCAGAGGGATGGTGGCCCACCTTGGCTTTCCTCTSCTCCAGACATGGCAGCCACACCCGCACTGTCTATGGGGACGTTTCCTGGCCTTTGCTAACCCATGAACCAAAACCCTAGGGACTAGGAAAAAGCTGTCTGGCACAAATCAGAACTGCCCACAGCCAGGGTAGCATCTAGAAAGGATAGATAGATATATCTAGAGGTTGGGCCAGTGTCCTTTTTCTGTTTTGGTTTTCTAGTAGATGGAGAGAAAAGCTGAGTGAGGAACAGTGGTGATGAGGCTAAGGAATCACTGAGCAGGTTTCTTTTCCCACATAAGAATCGGGTCAACTTTTAGTTTAAAAAACTACATCAGAAACTCTTAAAAATCCCTGAAGGAAGAATTAGCAAAAAAAAAAAAAAAGGATGTTCAGGACTTTCATTAAGTTGTAGATCTATGATGAAGTTTCCTTGTTAAAGGTAGTGTGACCTGCTGTAGACTGTTCTTCCTTAATAATGAAAAAAAATCCTATAGCTTTGTGTGACACTTGCCATATCATCACTCAATTTGATCCTAGTCAAAAGAATATCAAGAATTCAAGTGCAGACAAAAAGTAGGATTTAAAATAATAATTTCCATGTGGAAAAAATAGGTTTATTTTCTTCCTGATGTCAGATGTGCTGATAAAGTACAYGATCTCAGCTGACGCAGCAATATAGTTATTGTGATTTTTTCCATGAAGTCCTCTTGGTATGGTTAATATTATTTATGCTATSACAGCAGAGTGGCTGGGGTACAGTAGAGCACTTAGTGGATGTGTTTGCAGTCGGGTGCCTAGTGCTTTTGAGCACTGCATGCTCACAGCACGCCGCTCCTCCAGAGCGAGGGATTTGTTTTCAGAGAGACCACTCAGACAAAGCGGAGAGAGCTGAAGCCCAGCTGCGGGGAGGGGCTTGCTCCAAGGCACATGACAAGTCGGTGAACATCTGGGAATGGAGTTGGGTCACTTTCTTTTCTAATTAATTTAGTGCCTTCCATTATCTGATGCTCAGTGGCTGAACCTGGGGAGCCTTGTGGGACTCATGCCAGGGCTGCTATGCAATGTCTCAAGCTTATGCCTTAACTGACTTGAGATCTTGCAGTACATACTCCTCTTGCAGCAGCAATGGGAGCATTACTTATTGAAGCCTGTCTTGTTAGGCYCTCTTTGTATGCTTCATAAACTAAGTTAATAGAGCACAGCAAGCTTCCAWATTTATCATACATGTGCAACTTATTATGGCCAGGATGTAACAAGTAGAAATAAAAAGTTCCCATTTGTTATTTAAATGAATAGCAGACATACTATAGATGATTTGTATAGYACTGTCAGCCTAGGATTTACATAGTTCCAATTAGAAAGARAAGTGTGGGASACAAAAAATTCCTATGATARAACAAGCCTGTTACTARATGTTAAATCATTAAATTAAAGCARGGCCTGAAAACTGTAMCAGATCTCCTGCYATCTGAACAAYCCAATSAGACATGTATTTAAAACAAACAAACAAATAAAGGAAAGGTGAAAAATAGTGTGCTGCTAAGTAGCCCAGCAGCTTTTCAGTGGGACCAGCCTAATTCTCCACGCTGTCTGTACTGTAGGGAAAATGAAGATCCATGGCATTGCTGCCAGGAAGCTGGATAGCACTTGTGAAGGGAACAGGCTTCTCTATTAGCTTCCAGATTGTTGATTCATAACTGCATTTGGCTTGTAGGTGTCTGCGTGCATTTGAAGACTCCTTTTTTCTTAATGTGTCCAGCTGGTGAAGTTTTTTTAAGTTAATAATACAATTAACTTCAGCTCTGAGCTGAAAGGATCTGTTGGGCAAGGGATCTGTTGTCAGGCCTGCTCTTCTGTATGTTTCCTAGCACCTGGACATACATTCCCTGGGAATATCAGTCCATTTTGATGCTATGTATTTGAAGCCTTTCTGGTATTAATTGTTAATTAATTAATAATTAATTGTCTCAGCTTTTTTTCCCTAGAAAGTACATTAGAAGAGTGCAGTGATACCCAGTTCTTGGCAGTGTCACARTGACCCAGTCAGCTCACACCGTCCTCGGTGAATATGGAAATCCCAGCAATTCATGGCTGGCTCTGCTGTTGCATCAGCTGTTTTACAGAAGGGCAAAGACTGAGTCCTCTGGTTTGCTTTCCAAACTATGCTTTCATGTGCACACGTGTTAGAAACTTTTCCTCCTGTTAAGTGAAAATTTAAGCTCTGGAGCTATGAGGAGGCTGGTCTGCTCCTCACCTGACAGTAAACAACAGATAAGATGGCAAGGTATTTTTCAAGCTCTGATGGAGGCAGTATGACAAAATAAATAGCAATGCTAACAGTAGTAACATATTAACAGTAAAAAAAATCCTGTTCAGCTAAGTCAATTTTCGTTTGGAAGTTATATCTTTCAAATGATGACTGTTAACTGATGTAAACATTGTCATTTTTTCTACAGTTGCTCCTGCTGACTGATGCTGTCTTATAGTTTCCTAGTTTTCCCCCAGGTWTCCCTATCTGCCTATCATCACCTGCATTTAGACTGCAGGAGTTTTGGCTAGGSCACTTTTTGATCAATGTAAAATTTAGATCAGCAGAATCTTCATCTGTGGCTGTGACTGTTAGGCATTGGGCTAATATGTGGCTTATGAATGGTATTAGAACTGAATCTAAAAGCTAATCTTGTAAAATAGTTGAAATTATTTCTATTCTTCTTTGCATTTTTTGTAACACTGGTGCTTTTTGTTTTTAGAATAAGATAGCCCCAGGGCATGCTGCTGCTGTTTAAGCAGAATAGCCATAAGGRCACTTTCAATCCCCCATCTTTTCCACATTTGAATCTATAACCAGACTGACAAACCAAGGAGATGTGAGACATCATTTCTAAGTACTCCTTTGTGTGTCTTCAGGGCTCTTGTTTTGCTGAAATTCTAAAAATACTGAGCCAGAGCAGTAGCTTAGAAATGGGATAATGGCTCAGAGGCTTGACCAGCTTTCTCTTTTAAACCTCACTGGCACAAGAGCTCATTTGACAKAAGCCTGTCCTTGTCCAAATGGTGAAGAGCTTAAAATACAGATTGTATATTCTTTATGTGTTTGAGACCTTCAASAGACATATGGCTCAAATTCAAGCAAAGAAGGCTTACCATTTATCTTTTCTAGTTCACATCCTGAGAGGTAGATTCATGCCATTCAGATTTAATTATCTTAAAATTTCTTAAAATAAGTTAAAATAACTTAAAATTTCTTTCTATCAGGGAGGAGATGAAAAATAGCCATGRAGATAGTAGGGCAACTCTGCTAAATCAGATTATCTGTTATTCAGTGCAAAAGTGGATTGACTGGAACCAAAATCTGGTTAAACAGATGATATGGTTGATGCCACTCATCATCAAGAACATAAAGTATTGAAAACAGCTGACACAGCTGGATTTGACATGAGACATCTGTAGCCTGCATTCTCCCTGTCTCTTTATGTTGGCCTGGTGGAGATCACGGTGGATGGGTACAAGGGGATGCATAGACCACATAACTGAGAAGGTGAAAGATCCTAGTGAATTCTTATCAAGAGTTGAAAATGTCTGTCAGACTTTTTCCATAGAAATCCTTGGAAATATACTGAATCTGTTCATGTTCCACAAAAAAAAAATAAAAATAAATCAACAAAAAAACCCCAAAAACAAAACAAAAAACTCTCAGATAACTTTTCTGCAAAGGGGAAGTTGCTGCCACTGTTAAATTACAAGACAGTGGGATGCACAGTTAATTGAGGTTTTCTGTTCTTGACTAATGAAGACCCCAGTGAGACATTTCCCTGGAAAGKTCTGTCACCCTTGGGGTAGAAATGGTAGCCATCCCAAAGCATTTGAAAGAATCACTGTCAGTGTGCCTRTTAACTTGTCACACCTTCCCAGGCTCTATTGCTTTAAAGTCAACCTGAATGAAAAATTCCAAGAGGTAGCAGAGTGTGTCTTGCACACCAGTCTCTGCTTCAGTCAGTCTTAAGCTAGCATTCGCTTAAAAAGGAACTTTAAGAATGCATTATATATGTGATAGCATATTTCCAGCATTTGTTATTCACATTAATAACTGGACAAAAAAACTTGCCTAAGTTTTCCATTGAATTAAGCATAGTTCCATAAATAGAAGGCATTAAATACTTTAAGTATTTCTTGATTATCCTAGCAATTAGTAATACCTTGCTAGCTACAATATGTCCCATAAGAGTTTGTTTAAACAAGTGAATGCAACTGGATTTACTTATTCCCAGCCTAACTTCAGGCTGGGGATAAAAATAAATAAATTAGGATTTACTTATTCCCAACCTAATTTCAGGCTGCCACAGAGCCTGCACTGCAGTGAATGGGGCCCAGCACACCCTGCATTCCTGACAGCACTGGGGCAGTCATTGAAACACTGATACCAGGGCAATATGGATGGCTTGCTGTTCCCTAAGGGCACATTATTACTTAACACAGATTGGTGAGAATGAAAAAATACCATCATCTTCTCAGACAGTACACCATAGCCTCTTCAAATTAAAGACTAATATTTTCCTTTTTTTTTTTTCCTTCGAAGTGGAAAGGCAGTTAAAGCTGACTTGGACCCCATTTATTTCACACTCGCTAGCTTATCCTGTTTTCCTCACTTTTGACTACTCATATATCTGTATACATATGGAAAGTAATTTCAGTGTGGAATAAAAGTTTCAGCAACACAATTCACAGTAATTTTTTTTAGCCAAGGGTAGAGTGTGTCAGAGCCTGTGCATCCTGGTKCTGACACAAACAGCCATAGCAATGAGGTGAAATGTCAGACAACATGGGGCTGGAGTGGATTAAAGATGAGTCTTTACGCAAATAACTCTGCTGTGTGAAAGCTTCCATGAAGTTTTCCAATCATGTTTTGTTTSCTTGGGCTGTTCAGCTGATACTTTCAATACTCAGCTTTCTGCACCACCTGAGATTTCATCTTCCACACCAGGTTTACATTTCTGGCTTGCCTCAGCACGTGTTCGGAGTAAAAGCTGCTTTAAATACTCACTAAGCAATTTGTCTTTCGGGTGCTCTGTATTGTGCTTAAGTAAGGTATSGAAACCAAGAGAAGAGATCCAGCAYAGAATGAAGAGTAGYTCCTATCTTCCACTAATTGCCCTGAAGGTTATGTGAGGTGGGAAGCTTGATTGTTAGTGACATGTCCCTGTATCCTCCTGATGTGGCTTTTTAGACCTTAAGAGTACTTCAGATACGTCCCTCTGGCAGAAAGTGTTCTTGCTCGCTTTTAGCTGGACCTGTTTKCTGCAGGACTTCTGAGTAAACATAAATATTGTTATTGGGGACTGTATTTCTTACAATAAGAGAAACTACAATAGGAGTTATGGTGGTGGAGAATATGACACTGATTTGTGGAGACCCAGCACTGTGACTGTTTCTTCCTCTCCGTGGTTGCTGAAATCCTGTTCCCGTTGATGCCTGACAGTTTTCCCATTGACTTAAATGAATTCAACACATAATTAGATTTATTTGTGTTTACATGTGTACATCTTGTATTTAACACTTAGGAATACATTAAAAAAGCAATTTATGGCCAGTCTTAGAGAGTAGACTGGCCTCATAAACARGGAATCTTTATGTCTGATGCACCAGATCTTTAGCAGCCTTGTGCCACTAGGAAGCTCTTAATCCAAGGCATGTGATGTCTCCTTAAACTCCTTAGGGAGGATATTAGAGATGTACATCAGGAACTTGGGACCCTTCTTCCTGGACTGAATGTAAGGTTCTGCATTGTGCAGCCCTTCTGGAGAATTATATCTTTAGAATGGGACAGCCTAAATGTCAAGTAGGGTTGAGGCTAAGTTTATAATTTGAACATTTTTAATGTTTGCCCYTTGGATGAGCACTGATAAAAATCGTCATCAGACCAAGGCATTCAAAACTTGCTGTAAACCTTAGATCCCAGAAAAATAGAACTTTAGAAAAAATTTAAATCTCAGAAAAGTGCAGAGGAGAGGAGTGAATATGAAAAAATGTTGTCCCAGTCAATCAAACCAAATTAAAAAAAAAAAAAAGTCTCCAAAATGAAGAGAAGAATTTTGTRACATAATGCTTCCCCTAATGTTTTCTGGGGAAAACACACTTTCTCTTGCTCTGACATTAGGAGAGTCCTTTTTTATTCCCTTTTCTATGAATGCATAATTGGGAAGTTGGGTTAAAAAAACAAAGATAGAAAGATGCGAGGAGTCAGTTACAACAGATTAATTTCATTTGTGTTATTTCCTTTTGCAGATATTTCAAAATACAGTTATGTCCACAACAGAACAGTGTGCTCATTGTATTAAAGCAAGTAAAATTCAGTATAATTTAATGTAATTTCTAAGTAGGCACACATGCTCTTTGCTACAAATTCAGAATGGTGAAGAATTCTCTAGGGACTCACAATTTTGAAAACTTCTGTTTGATACCATCATGGTAGAGACATTTAAAGGGCCTTGCTTAAAAATAGCTGTACACGGGATGTTTAACTCTTCCATTTCTGGAATATTCGTTTATCTGATATTTTTTTTTTTTCAGTTTTAACTTATTAGTGCCTCATTTGGTACTGTGGTGTGGCAAATTTATGTCTGTTTTGGTAACTGTTTATAAAATCCTAGAATCCTGGAATGGTTTGGGTTGGAAGGGACTCAAAGATCATCTGGTTCTGACCCCCATGCCATGGGGAGGGGCACCTTCACTAGACCAAATTGTTCAAAGCCCCATCCAACCTGGCCTTGAACACTTCCAGGGGTGGGTCATCCACAGCTTCTCTGGGCACTGTTCCAGTGCTTCACCAATCTCACAGTAAAGAATTTCTGCCTGGTATCTAATCTAGACCTACTTTCTTTTAGCYTAAAGGCATTCACCCTTGTTTTACCTCTATATGCCCTTGTAAAAATTGATAATTAGGAAAAATAATTTTAAATATAAAACATAGCTAGCCCAGGAAAAAAAAAAATCAGAAGTAAACTACTAATTTGATGTATCTGAAAAAAGCTCAGGTAAGTCTGGTGTTTTACCTTTAAAAAAAGATCAAATAAGCTAAACTGCAAGTTGATTGATAACTCTATTATATGACATTCTAAAGATGACATTGCTTGTATATATTTAAGCTATTATATATTCTCTAGGGGGAAATCTGTGCTGATGGTAGAAGTCTCGGGATTTCTAAGTTTCAAGAGAGGGGAAGCTTGAATGGGTTTAAACTTACAATGCAAAAGACACAGAGGATCTGCAACAGCTTCACAGCGATGAAAATACAGCAACCAACATTTCATGCAACAAACCCCAGGCAATTAATGGCTTCTTTGGGTCTCCACTGAGACAAAGCACAGAGCTGGGGGTCTCAGGTTTTAGTTTCTCCAGGAGTACTCGCTCTGGGCCTGGCACACAGTTTTCCTGCGTGCTCCACAGGGTGTTTGCCAGCACAGGGCACCAGCTCAGGGGAAGGAGCTGTGCAGAAGGGCACAGGAGTGTGGCTTCATGTCTCCCCATGCCCTGGCTTGGGTGGTGGCTGTCCCCCCACTGGGACTTAGCAAAGGGAGAATTTATGGAGGGGGAAAAAAAGAAAAAAAAAATATCTAAAAAGCTGCCCTGTGACACTTCCAAACTCTTCTGKCCCATGCTGGAAGTTTGAGGCCAGGTTGGACAGGGCTGATCTAACAGGTGGCATCCATGTTCATGGCAGGAGGGTTGGAACAAGAGGAWCTTTCAGGTYCCTTCCARYCCAGATYGTACCAGGCCAGGTGRCATCGYTGTAAACCCAAATTTGACACAGACWGTTCTAGRACTGATGAATACTACCTGAAACCASAGAATTTGCATATATAAAATACCCAGTACTCTGGAGACAGTTAAGTAACTTAAAAGGTTGCTGTTGCTTCTAATCAGAAACACCTCAAAGCCCTAGTGTGTGTTACTTTCTGCCTTTAAGATCCTTGAGTAATCAGCCTTCTGTAATTGTGGATTGAAGAGAAAAAGTTACACAGAGAGGGGGAGAAGGAGAGCATGGGGAAATCCCCCTYTTTTGTTGATAATTTTGTAGGAGCTGTTATGTCAATCCCTTGTAAAAACACAGGAGAAAACTTTGGATCTGTATTTCTGGTGTTAGTCTCAGGTTTTGGTATCATTATGATTTTAGAAAAATACAATTTGTGCAGAAGCTCTTACACGGGCATGTAATTAAATGTAAAGATACTAAAGCAGCTTAGGAGACTTCAGAAAAAGTTCAAGTTTGCTTTTAATGTGTTGCATTCTTGTAGTTTGTTCTGGCTGGCTGATGGTACGTGATCCTGGTCCGGACGATGAGCTCAACTAATTGAGCTTTTCAGGATTTCCCAGCTTCATTTGCACTCTTTGATAAAGGGGAAATGCTCAGGACATCTCCACCCCTGTGGTTGTTGCTCCTTTCCTAACCAGATCTCCCCTTCCCATTCTCAGGTACACGCTGGTGGATATTTTGCGTGCCATACTTCTTTCTTTAGAAGCCATGATAGAAGACCCCGAGCTTCAAGTGAATGGATTTGTTTTGATTATAGACTGGAGCAACTTCACCTTCAAGCAAGCATCCAAGCTCACACCAAGCATGCTCAGATTAGCCATAGAGGGCCTTCAGGTAACATTGTTATTGTTGTCTTTCTTCTCCTAATTCTTCTTCGTTTTGCAGTTCCTTACAAATCTAGGTCGATAAAAMAGACCTAAACAAAACAAAATTCCAACAGCTTTGGAATAGCAAGGCTATTAACACCTTAAGGTGTGGGTGAACAAGCAAGCTACTGTGACAGAAGTGTGAAYTCAGTCAGCTAACTGCAGTAACTCTTGATGTGTAGGCTCCTTCCTTGCTATAAATATGAGGTAACTTTTTTGTCTTTATTCCAAAGTGACTGGCTTCCTGTAAATTCAGGCGGCAGCTTCTGCAACAGAAAGTTAGAAGCAATCAGTTTATGCTGTAATTATGCACAGGGATAATGAAATAGGGGGTGCTGCTGTCACACCAGGTTGGCTTTTTTCATTGATTCCTTTGAAGACAGCTCATTTTTGTTGTGAAAGTGTGGGGCTCTGTGAATACACAGTTATCTGGGACTATTTGTTTACTCAAAGTTCAGCATGTGCTTGGCTCTTTTTCTGGGTCAAGATTAATCTGAGCCGCAGCTTCTGAGGGACTGAGTRTACAATGATTAGAATTTCTTTCAGCTCATTGTAAATGCACTTTATGTGACACAGGCACATTGGTGGAAAAAGTACTACATAAATCACATCTGTTTCCTATGATATTTTATGCTTATTAAAATGAAAAACTAAAATTGTGAAAGCAGCTGTTGTCTGCATAAGCCTGAGTTGCCATGTTAAAAATATCTGTAATTCACTCCTGTGACAGTGTGCCTTGCTTTTAGGACATATATTCCTCTTCTGTGATGTTTCTATCATTTATACATTTTTATTACTCATAAAGCAAAATAACAGCCTTACCTTTGAACTTTCTTCACTTTGACTGTGTGATTTTTGAAGAAACTTGTGCAGCAGTAGTATAGAATGTTGATCTAACTGATGAAATAACTCAACCAATATTCAGCCTGCTGCTGCACACAGAAGGGTAGTGACATGAGACAAAGGTCTCAGTTCTCATTTTATTGTGTTTCCTTATGCAACAGAGTGATTCCATCGTCTTCACAGCTACATTAGAAGGCAGCAGTGAGACCTGAGCCCTAGTAGTGCCACATTTCCTTTCATTGCCTTCAGAGCTCTTTTCTTTTTTGTGTTTTTTTTCAAAGTCAGCCATTGTTTTCTGGTTTAGAATGTGAATAAATGCTTTAGTGGTCTTTGTTTTCAAATGGTGGCATTTATTCTTGGGCTTTATTCGGAGATGGTTATTTTTGAGGAGAGCTGTAGTGGAAAATTGCATCTGAAAATAGGAGGGGTGACCTACCAAACTTCAGGTGGGCTCTGAGACTGCATTCTCCTGCCATCGAATGCTTCATGACTGAATTGTAGAAAAGTCCAGTTTTTTTAACTTACCCACACCCCCAGCTTTGTAGTTTCAAATATTCTCAGTCTGATGGTGGCCAGCATCTCTGGCATCATTTTGTGCYCACTGCCTTCAGTGCCAAGATGCAAAAGTGGGCATGAAATGCTCCAGAGGAGAGAAGGAAAAGGCATTTTAATGATTTCCTTTTATTTTGGGGGAAAATGCATTGCGAAAACATCATTCTGAGTGGCGTCTAAGTAAAAAGTGCTTAATCAGGTACTATGAAAATGAACAAGAACAACTCACACACTGTATTTATGATCTTTGTAAATACTCTCTGTTTAATCATAGAAATGAAATTTACTTTGGATTATAAGMTTTAACAGGACTCAAGATGCTGAACTTTACCATTTGGAGAATTTAAATATTTGTGTTGCTTAGGCAAAATGGGACACTGAGAGTGGGATTAGTGACCACTGAATTTGATGTTAACCAAATCCCTCTGCCTCCTGAATGAAATCTACAGAATCTGCATTATATTTGCTTAGCTTCCATGGTGAGCAGAATACACAATATGATATGTACCAAAGATTTTACAAGCTATGGCATTTTTTTGTTTTTCACAGCATCTTATTGTTTAGGAAATTGCTTTTGAAAGTAAGATAGGTAAATAATATATACAATTTACTGCTGTATAGAAAAATGTGAGTTCTGCATATGTGTTAAATGGGAGTGTGAAAAGAATCACAGCCCAAACTTACTTGGATAAATTAGAAAAACTTAGGTAGTTGCTTTCAGGAAAAAAAAACAACTTTAGGTTGTGGAATTTTTAATGTTGTAGGACAGTGATTATACGTAATCTGATATGAAATTCTAGCATACCCATGGCAACAGTGCTGTACCAAAAAACTGGTGCAGTGTAGGTCAGTGCTGATTTTTAGATCAAATGGTTTTTGCTAGACAAGAGGCAAAAACTTCATGTGGAGGTAGAGGCACTCAKCTGGGACTCTTGGTGCTCCAGTCCTAGCTCATACACTGTCTGTGTGCTTTTGGAAAAAAGGAGCAAAATTCTTCCTTGTAGATGCTTGTGGCTTCAGTATTTATGTTGCTCCTCATCAGTGAGAGGCAAGATTTGCACTTAGAGCTCCTATACTTTCCTTAGTGTAGAGTAATATCAGAAGAAAAACTTTTTTTCAGAGCTGAAAAAAAGTCTCGACTTTAGCACTTTGTGTTGATTCTCCCTAGAGTATTCCGTGTGTGGATGTTTGAGTTAGGTGCCCCCTTCTCGCCATTCATTGATTTCTGTAGCCAAGCACTGATTTTGGGCTTGTGGAGCAGCTCAGGTTCCTCAGCAGTTGTGTTCCTGAAAGCAGGGAGTGTTTCAGTGTTGTGTGCTTCAACACCTGAGTGCCCTGATTAAATCTCTTTCCAAATCTTCACAAAATTTTGCCTCTTTCACCAGCAATGGGTTGCAATCTGTGTGCTTCAGCTCTTTCTCCTATAGAAGAGAGAGAGAACTTTTGAGAGCTCTGAAGATAACCAGTCCTAAGTTTYCACAGACAGTGATGAACTTTGGGCAAAAAATCCAAAATGTACCAGATGGTTTCTGATATGTAAAAGGAACAATTAAATTGGCTGGAATTCATCTGGATGGATGAAGAAAAGCTGTAGAGAGAAGTACAAGAATCTATAAAACCATAGAATCACGGGATAATTCAGCTCGGAAAAGACCTCAGGGGCTTGGCAAATCTGACCTTCTTAAAGCAGGGTCCCTGATGAGGTCAGACCAGGACACAAACAAGATCATGGTTGGTTGGAGAGAGTGGACAAGCTGCAGATGTTATTTGTTATTTCCATTTTAAGAAATGGACATCATCAGGTGATACCAGGAAGAGTCCTGGTTCTTTATAAGACACCTTTGTACAACATCTGGGTAACTTCTACCAAAACCTATCTGAGAGCACTTGGGCAGAAAGAGGGAGGAGGTTCTGGGTATAATAATTTTCTGTATKATAGTCTTTTTTTACATAAGCCCCTATATGGAATTTAAAAAACAATGAAAATATCAAGATGCCATTGTTTTCATAAGGCAGGTGAAAACAGTTTCAAAGACTGAAAATTCAATTTGAAAATTATATTGAAATTTGGGGTTATTATTACTCTGACAGACAGCTTTGGGGGTAATTATAATTGAGTTTTGCAAAATGGAACACTATAGATATGCATGAGACACTTTAACTGATTAACTGATATTTAATATTCTAAAACCTGGCCCACTAATTCCTTTTTAAATATTGATTTCTATTTAGTGCATAATAGTAGCTGCATGCGTGACAGGTTTTTTTTTTTCATTCTTTCACTCAGGCAGGCTGCACATCCAAATATATTGCAAAATTGTGTAGTTATTGGTGGCTGAATGTGAATGTTTCTCCTCCAGTTAAAAAGCTGATGAAAAAGAGAAGATACACATTTAAGTGGGGARCTGAACATATGTGGGCAGTCAGCATTGTTGCAGAAGACAGAAGACTCTTGCTTCTGTAATAAGGATGTTTGCTGGAAGAAACAGCAGTAGTGTTGTGGGGTACAAGGCAGGGATTTTAACCAACTTTGTGCTTTTTTTTTTTTTTTTTTGGAACAGAGGAAGGCTTCTTAAGCTAAAACAAACTCATTGCTGTAAAAATGAAAGCAAACCAGAAAGTAAATGAAGGCAGCATCCTCACAGCTGTGATTACTTTCAAAAACATCTTTCACACTGCTGTTCTCAGGAGTTGTAAGAACAATATCCTGAAACAGATTTCTGCAGCAATGCAAGGTGGAAGTACCAGACACAAAATGAACGAAAGTGATGAAAGTGATGGGGCTTCCTACTCCCATTTTCTCGAAGTGTGAACTCTGTCAGTATCTTATCATTACAGGGAATCTTGCTGAACATCAGGGCTGGCACAACAAGCACAGAGAGGGCTTAAATTTTGGCACCTGGTTCTGGACTACATCAGTGCAACCAGCAGGTTGCAGTGCTAAGAATTCCTAAGACAGGAACTTCCAGAACTAAGGATGCCTCTGAAAACAGTATTTTGACTTCATATAATGACAAGGTCACATGCTCTGTGCAGTGCATGAGATTGTTAATAATGAGSCGAAGGAACAGTTAGTGCTAGCAGTGAGCATCAGTGAGCAGCAAACCCACAGAGCAGAGCTTCAAGAGTTTTTGCRTCCAGACTTAAAACCATAGACCCCACTCACGCAGTGCTTGAATTTTCCACCAGTTTTTGGGGACAGAGGTCCTGACACTTTATTGCTTGAGAGGATATTAAAAAGTAGCAGACTCAGGCTTTTAATGGGAGTATCTTCTGTTTTCAGGAAATCTGGTAAATTGTATATATGCGTTCATTCAGGGTTTTTTTTGGTAGRTTTTTTTTTTCTTTTTTTTTTTAATCAAAGAATTATGTTGTTTGTAAATGCTAGAGTCCCCTGAACCCAGGACTTCCCAGAGAATGGAGGGATGTGCTTGTGAACAGCATAATTTCATACCAGTTCAACTCATGTTCTAAAGCAATATCAGTTAAATGGGATRTTTTTCCTAAGAGTTTGCTATTTTGCATGAGTTTGCCTACACTTGGTCTTCCTTGCTTGTAAAAAGGCCCTAAAAA